ATTCTCTAATTTTATAGAGCCACATCAGAAGTCACTAATGGAAAGAGAAGAGGAAAATTTTCCAACACTTGGAAATGTAAACACAGTTCTAAATAACCCATTTTTGGATCTAAAAGGAAGTAGCAAAAGGAATTTTAAAAAATATATAGAATTGAATGAAATAAAAATAGAACAAATTAAAATTATGTGGAGTACAGTGAAAGTATGCTTACGAAGCAAGTTAACAGCACTAAATGCTTACATTAACATTGGGATGATGATATAAGTTTTGACCTAAGAGACTAGAAAAAGAAAAGAAGTCCAAAGCAAGAAGGAAAGAAATAATAGGAGAAAAAAATTAATAAAACAGAAAACCAGAAAAATAGAGAGAAGTCAATGAAACAAAAACTGGTTCTTTGAAAAATAATCCATACATTGATAAAGCTAGCAAGACTGACAAAAGAGAGAAAACACAAATAATTACTGTCAGAAAGTAAGCACTACAGATCCTATGATCATTAACAGTATTAGGAAATACTAAAAACTTTATCCTTATAAATGCAACAACTTAGAAAAACCAAACAATTATAAAAAAAAATCACAAACTCCCAAAGCTCAACCACATAAAGTAGATGTGAATAATCTTATAGTCATTAAAGAAATTCGAGACTTAATTAAAAATTATTCAAATAGAAAGCTCAAGGCCCTGACAACTTCACTGGAGACTACTAACAAACATTTAAATACAAATTAATACCAATTTTCTACAATTGCTTCCAGAAAACAGAAGAGGACAGAAAAATTCCTGACTCATTTTATGAGGCTAGAACTACCATCATACCAAAACCAGACTAAAACAGTAAAAAAAAGAAAATTGTGAGCCAATACCTATCATAAACTTTGAGGTAATAATTCCCAAAATATAACAGCAAGTCAAATTCTCCAATGTATAAAACAATTATAACAAATGATATTTATTGCAAGTATTTAAATTTTTTTCAACAGTCAAAAATCAATCAATATAATGTGTGATATCACAGATAAAAGAAATAGCAACTTACACATAAAAAAAGGCATTTAATGAAATCCATCATATAATAATAAAAACTAGGAATAGAGCTGTGTACAATGGTTTGTACCTATGATACCAGGCAGAATAGCTTGAAACCAGGAATTTAGGGCAAGCCTGGCTAACACAGGAAGACCCTGTCTCCTAAAAACAAAGAATAGAAAGACAATTTCTTAATCTGGTAAAGCAGCTGCCAAAAAAAAAAAGATGTTTGACTGAATGCTTTCATTTAAAATTAGATATACTACAAAGATGTCTTCTGTTACCATTCTTATTCATTAAGTACAAGATGTCCAAGGCAATAATCCTAAGACAAGAAAAATAAATTAAAGGCATTGGGAAAAAAGTAATAAAACTATTCCTATTTGTAAATGAAATAATGGGTCTACACAAAAGAACCCTAAAGAAGCCAGACTGGTATAGGCCAGTAATTCTATCTACTGGAGAGATGGAAGCAGAATCACAAGTTTGAGTTCAGCCTAGCCAACTTAGTGAGACCCTATAAAATTTTTTTTTAAATATCAAGAGATGATGGGGAGGGGTAGGGAAGGAAAAGGAGATGGAAAAAAAAAGAATTAAGATGTATTATGTACACAAAGCAAGTCTCCACAAGGAATGTAAATATTATGTACTACAAATATGTACTGTACTAATAAAAATCACTAGGCAGGTGGCTGGAATGTAGCTCAGTGGCAGAGCACTTGCCTAGCATGCATGGGGCCTGGGGTTTAACCCCCCTGCAAAAAGTAGTAATAATCCCAAGGACTCAAGAGCAAGAACTCCTAAACCTAATGAGTAAGTTCATCCAAGCTTTCAGGAATCAAGATCAACACACAAAATTCAATCATATTTTCTATATGCTATTAACAAATATATGAAAAACAAAATCAAAAGTATAATACTATATATAATTGCTCCAAAGTTAAATATTTAGATAAGTAAGAAAATATATAGACTCTACATCCTGAAAATTACAAACAGCTACATAAAGAAATCAAACACCTAAATACAGTAACTGGAAAGACATACCATATTGGTGGATTAGAAAATGCAACACATTAAACATTTTTAATTCTTATTGAAATTGATCTATAATTTAATGTAATATGAATATTTTTGTAGAGTTCTTTGCAGAGTTTTTTGTAGACATTGGTAAGCTAAGTTAAAATTATTTATGGAAAGAACTAGCACTAAGAGAGCTAAAAGAATTCTGAAAAAGAACATGAAGCGAGAGAAGCCACTCTTCTCAGCATGAAGGTTTATTACACTTTATCTATACAATAATCAAGACAGTTGGAAGAAGAACAAATACACAGGTCAATGCAAAAAAAGAGGAACCCAGAAAAAGACCCATATAAATATGTTCCCACTGATTTCTCACACAAGTGCACAAAAGATTTCAACAAATGATGCTAGATAAAATGGACTTCAATAGGCAAAAAGATAAAAAAGAAAATCCAAATTAGATATTATATATCATACAAAAATTAACTAAAAATGGGTCACAGTATTAAAAAGCAAAGAATTACATACAGATCTAGTTTTAAATGTGCTCTGTGAAGGGAATGAGGAGATAAGCTATAAACTAGAGAAAAGTAACTGTAAACTATGTATCAAAACAAAACATGTACATCTAGACAATATATATATATATAAAGAATTCTAAAAACTCAGCAATAAAAATTCAAACGTTCCAATAAGACATGGACAAAAAAATGAACAAATACTTCATTGAAGAAAACACAGATGGAAATAAGTGCATGAAATAAAATTTAAACAAATTCAAATAAACATGAGATATCATTAAAAGAGCAACAAGAATTTCTAAAATAAAAATTAGTTATAAAAAATTTGTTAGCTACAGTGCAGTCTTTCTTGCATTGCTGGTGGGAATGTAAAAATGCACCACCACTCAAGAAAGTAGTGCAGCAGTTTCTTACAAAGCTAAACGTGTACTTGTGATACAACATCCCAAAGAAATAATAATGTTTTGTTCACACAAAAACCTATTCAGGAATATTCACAGAAGCTTCATTTGTAACTGTCAAAAACTGGATGGTAACTATGATAATGTATGCTTCTAATACCAGCTCCTTGGGAAGCTGAGGAGGATTGCCAGTTCAAGGCTTGGCCAGTCAACTTTGTAAGACCATGCTTCAAAATAAAATATAAAATATAAAAACAAAGTGGGAGCCAGGCGTGGTGGCACATGACTGTAATGCCAGCACTCAGGAAGCTGAGGTAAGAGGATTGCTATGAGTTCAAGACCAGCCTGGGCTACATAGTGAATTCCAGGTCAGTCTCAACTACATAAAATTAAAAAAATAAAAAACAAAACAAAACAAAAAATTTTAAAAAAAGAAAGAAAAAAGAAAAACAAAGTGGGGTAGCGGGTTGGGGATTTAGATCAGTAGAGCCATGCCTGGCCTAGCAAGCTCAAGGTCCTGAGTTCAATCCTCTTACTGAGGGAAAAAAAAAATGTGGGGAAGGAGCTGAGGATGTAGATCAGTGTGGTAAGGCATGGGTATAGCAGCTGCAAGGTCCCAAATTCAGTTCTGTGTAAAACACACTGACAGACACACACAGAGATATCCATGCATGTGCACAAAATTGGTAACAATCTAAATATTCTTCCACAAGTGAATGGTTAAACAAACCATGCTTCTTTGAAACTATAAAAACACTTAATAACTTGGACGAATTTAAAAAGAATTATGGTGAGTGCAAAAGCCAATTTCAAAAAAGTTATAACTTTTTATATACATACTATATAATCCCATTTCTATGACTTTCTTGAAATGACAAAATTAGAAGGGAACAGTTTAGTGGTGGCATGGGAATAGCAAAGGACACAGGAAGGAAGCCATGTTCCTAAAAATACAGTTTAATTGCAAGTGCAAGGTTCTCAGTTCGATCCCTAGTACCAAAAAAAAAAAGATACAGTTTGAGTGATCCTTGTAACAGAACCATTTCATATCTTGACTGTGGTAATACACAAATTCACACATGATCAAATCCACACGTGATAAAATTGCATACAGCTAAATACATATATATTGAGTATATGTAAAATTGGTGAAATCTGTACATGACTATGAATTGTGTCAATGTTAATTTCCTTGTAATGTTCTACAGTTAGTTAAAATGTTATCATTGGTGCAAACTAGGTAAAGGATACATGAGTTCTATCTGTATTGTTTGTAACAACCTCAAATGAGTCTATCATTATCTCCAAATAAGAAAAAAAGTATCATGTTGTTACTTAATTTTGTTTCTGAGTCCTGGATTAGAATAAAATAAATGTCGATGGGTCTGATAGTGATAAAAATAAATACGGAGATAGATAAATAGGGCAAAAAAAGGACAGCTCATCCTTAACCAAGAATTCCAATTAACAAATGTAAAATATGAAAACCATAAAAGTAACCATAAAACTTCATTGTAATAGTCGTTCCATTTAAGTTTCTCAGATAAATGCTTATCATAGTAAATAATAGTTTCAGAGCAAAAAGTGTAGTTTTTGTTTGTTTGTTTTGTTTTTGGTACCAGTGGTACCTTGGGAGGCAGGTGGTGGAACCTCTGAGCTACATCCCTGGCCTGCAGAAAGTACATTTGAATAGTTCCAGTGGCTCTTCCCCAAAATATTTATTACAACTTGGATAAGCACACCCAAAGGCCCATCTATTAGATTAAAGACCAGACTTCAGCCCACAGTGCAACTGGCGAAGCCTTTATGAAACAGGGCCTAATAGAAGAAAGTTAGGTTATAGGGGGTGAATCCTTGAAGGTGAGGTGGAGGGGTGAGTGTGCTTACAGCAACAGACAATGACTTTTTTTTTTTAAAGTCTTTTCCTCCATAGATCAATAACATAATGACATCAAAAAATATGAGCAATTTCTGTTTTCAGAGTTGGCTTTTTTATAATGGATTTCATATAAGGCTTTGTCTCACCTGGCCAGTTCTTTAATTAAGTTTGCAATGCGTCTTTTGTCTTCAAGACATAAATCCTTCAGTGATGCACTCTTCATTCCCTCCTTGCAGAAATTCTAAAACAAACAAACAAAAAAATCAGGTTTTCTAAAAACATTGTTTAAGTGTTTTGAGAAACCTATTAAAATAAACATAGAAAGTGAAATTTTTTAGGTATCTTTTATCTGCTAGGACACTACTACTCGCTTCATTTAAACCTAATGGGAGCTCAAAAGAAAAAGGGAAAGAAAAGCATACAGAAAAAAACTTAGAAGCAGAAATTGTTATTGGTAAAATGCTACAAAATATAAGGAGTTTCCCACATTGAATATCCAAGGAACAATATCTAATGGAAAATATTGAGAACCTTTCTTAAACTACAGCCTGTAGGCTATTTAAGGGTATGCTAGGGATGGCAGAAGAAGCACCAGGTACTACACACTCAAAGAATATCCTAAAGTTCATTCCAAAGGGTATTAGTTTAATAAATAATAATTACAATAGCTAACACTTAACATCTATTGCTTACTACATGCCAAGAGTAGTCTTCCTACTTTGTGTTATAAATGGGGCATATGAAACCACTCACTCGAGACAGGCTTTTATGAGGGGGGAAAAAGTTTATTCCAGTGTACAGAGACTAAAACTGGGGATTAAGATCAGGGATAGATTTTTGCAGCTAGCTAGGAAAAGCCAAGTTTATTACATCCATGTCTGGATGGGTTGACATTGAGAGAGAAATATCAGCAACTAGGAGAGATTTTATCTGTGGGTAGATGGGCTAATATCAAGAGAGAGACATTAGCAGCTAACTGGGAAAGGAATTAGGCTTGCATAGGTTTTTTTGTTTTGTTTTGTTTTGTTTTTTGGTACCAAAGATCAAACTCTGGTCCTTGCACTTGTGAGGCAAGGGGAGGCACCACTGAGCTAAATGCCCAGCAGAAATAGACTGTTTTTTACTGAGAGTGGCCTGTTTGCTTGGACCTGTTTGCTTGTGAGGACACTTTGCATTTATTATTGCTTCATTCTCATAGCAGTGCTAATAGGTAGGTACTACTCCTATTCTATATTGATGGTAATCTTGCCCACTGATATAGCAGCTTAACAGAAGAGTCAATATTTACACACAGGTTCCTTAGTGCTGTTAAATACTATACTATTTACTCTATCTTTTCTGTTACAAACATTCTCCAGTATTGAGAGGTCTTTAAAGTCACAAAACTGAAGGAATCATGAGGAAACCATAGGTAATATGTAAAGGAAGGAACAATGACTCTTGGCATTTGTCCAGCTACCAAAGCAAGTCACTCCAGTTATTTTGGGTAGCTAAGAACAACCCACAACACATCAAATGAATCCTGGAAATAGTAAAAGCCACAATCCTGTGAAATCATCCAGGCAGGAAGCTGGAAAGGTAGGTCTGTCTCTCAAGTCAGAGAAAAACACAAAGATTTAAAAATCAATGTATAGTATTATGGATGATGGTTAGACATTATTTGATTTTTCCATGTTTTAATTTTTTAAATAACTATAGATAACAGTAAAATTAAGGAAAACACTATGTTTTTTAAAAAAACCTAGAAATCCAAGAAAATTTGTATCTCTTTTCAATTTTTATTTTTAATTTTCATTTAAAAAGACAAAAGGAGAATCAAAAGTGAATTAAAAGTACATAATATTGCAGAACAATAAATGTGAAGAAAAGTATGGTTACCAATAGTGCTAGCCAGGTATGGTGGTGCACACCTGTAATCCCAGCACTCGGGAGGCTGAGGCAGGAGGATCACTGTGAGTTTGAGACCAGCTTGTCTATAGTGAATTCCAGGGCAGTGTCAACTACGTAGTGAGACCCTGTCTCACAATAACCAAAACAAAACAAAACAAATAGTGCTAATGATAAAAAAAAAAAAAGTGATAAGAAAAAAAAAAAAAAAAGACTAGAGAAAGGGGACATTGGATTTGGCAATGGAAGAAATTTCTAGTAACTCATGAAAAGACACTTCAACCTGTCAAAGATTAAAACTAGACCCCTATTTTTCACCATGCACTAAACTAAAACTGAAGTGGATTAAAGATCTAAATATTAACAGAAACACTAAACTTTTTGGAGATAAGTTAGGTAGTACTTTCAAAGACAATGGCATAGGTAAAGACTTTATGAACAAATTCTCAATAGCACAGGAACTAGCACAAAGAATCAAAACTGGGATCTCATTAAAAAGCTTCTGCAATGCAAGAGAAACCACCAACAGAGCTAAGAGACAACCTGCAATGTGGGGAAAAAAAATTTTGCCATCTGTTTCTCAGACAAAGGTATACTATCTAGAATATACAAAGAAATCAGAAAAATCAGACCTCCCAAATATAAAGACCGAATTCAAAAATTCAAAATGAACGGACATTTCTCAGACAAAGAAGTAAAAGCAGCAAATAAATATATGAAAAAATGTTCAACATCACTGGTTATTCGAGAGATGCAAACGAAAACAATGCTGAGACTCCACCTCCACCTCATCCTAAAAAGAATGGCTGCTACAGAGAAATTAACCAATAACAAATGCTGGTGAGTTTGTGGGGAGAAAGGAACGCTTCTCCATTGTTGGCTGGAGTGCAGACTGGTGCAACCACTGTGGAAATCAATACAGAGATACCTCAAAAAACTAGGCTTATCGGTCTCATTTGACCCAGCTATCCCTCTGCTGAGTATCTTTCCAAGAGTTAAAAGAATCATACCATAGTGATATATGTGCACCCAAGTTTATAGTGGTACAGTTTGTAATAGCCCAACTGCCCATCAACTGGAGAATGGATAAAGAAGATGTGGTTTTTCTATAAAATGGAATACTACTCAGCCATAAAGAATGAGAAACTAGAAATATTTATAGCTAAGTGGATGCACAATGAGGACATACTCTTAAGCGAAATTAATAGGACACACGTGTAAATGCTTAATAGTTTCTCTGGCATGAAAAATAAAACTGTAAATAAGATTCAAATTGTACAATTGATAATGTGAAATAGGAAGAAAAGGGCTAAAGGAGTAGGGGAAGTGGGAGGGCTGGGGTAAGGAAAGAAGAGGAAAGAAAAAACATGAGAAAAGGAAAAAATGGAAACAAAGTCTGTATAAATAGGGAAGAGTAGAGGGGGTGAAGGAAGAGGAGAGGTATGGGGAAAAAATAAGAACCAAGATACATCATGTAAAGGTGTAAGATTCCAATGATGAATGTAACTGTACTGCATACCTAAAAAGTACCAATAAACTTAATGAGAAAAAAAAACTTACCTACATACAGGTCCTAATATACATAAAACTAAACTTTTTTTTTCTTTCCCTTGTATCAGGGAACAAACTCAGGACCTCACACTTGCCAGGCAGGCACCGTACTACTAAGCTAAATCCTAGGCCCAAAACTAAAAATATTTTAAAATCAAAACTAACTCTACTCTATATAGGAGAGGGCTTGGTAAACTATAGTTACAAGCCAAATCTGGCTCACTGCCTGTTTTTATAACTAAGGTAATTAAAACATAGCCAAGCTTACTCATTTATATATTTCCTATGGATATTTTCATACTACAAGGATAAAGGTGAATAGCTGAGATAGATCCTGCAATCTGAAAAGGATACAGTATTTACTATCAGAGGCCCTTTGCAGAAAAATCTTGCCTATATCTGATATAAAAAACAAAAATAATAAACATAAAATTTAAGACAAGAAATACCAAACAAGATATAATAAGGGAAGGACACATCTTACAGTCACTCGATTTATAATACTGGCATCACTGCAATTTAGTAGGAAGAAGAAAGATCTTCTCAATGAATGGCACTGGGCCAATAAACTATCAGTATGGAAATATGAACAGTGATTCTTATTTAACACCGTATGTACACATTAACCCCTGAAGAACAGTAGGCTTAGCTGTGAAAAGCAATATGGTTGCTAAAAGAGGGAACCTGCTACAAAGAGTGTTGTTGGCTAACAGTTCCCACTTCCCTTGAGCATCTACTGCAGTGTTCATACCAATTGATGGTGATGATTAGAAACAGCAAAGACACTAGAACTGGGCATTTTCTGTATCAAATTGCATCCTCAAAAGATAATATTTTGCTCTAGCGTTCCTGACTAGCATAACAAACACTATCTCACGCTACATCTCAAGTCTGAGGATCTTCCTATTTGAGCTTGCTTCTTTTCTTTTCTCAGAAGTACAAGACCCGAAGATCTGAAGTTTTTCTTTGACTATATCTGCTCATTTATCCTTGTAGACGTGTCCAATCTTTTGGCTTTCCTGACCTGCTAATTGAAGAGGAATTGTCTTAGAACCCACATAAAATATACAATATAGTTAACATATATAAGCAACAAAATTTCCTGTATTACTCTATATTTGTTATTGTAACAGTTTTTAAAAGAGAGCAGGTAGCTTGTGGACCCACAGTTTGAACATACCTGCAAGCTTTTCCTTCCTTAAAATCTCTTCTAATTCATCTTGGGGTTTACTTCACAGAAAACTAATGTGGTTATAACCATTAGTATGAAAACCTTAATGAATCAAGGATCTAGATACTGTACATCATTTGCTACAAAGATCATCTATCTAAAATTGCCCTGGCACCATGTTTAAAAGCTTAAAATCAAGACTGGAAAGAATCAGACTAATTCCAAATGACACTGTTCCAAAACAAATCTCAGGACTATCTTTAGAAAAAAGAATATCTAGAATACAAAAAGGTAAAACTCACTATCTGCTGGTACCCAGATAAACAACAACAACAACAAAAAAAATGAACTATGAAGGCAAAAAAGAAAAATCAATGCATAATTAGAAGGAAAATATTCAGCAAAAAGTATATCTAAATGACTTGGATGATAGAATTTAGTAGACAAAAACATTAAAAGTTATTATAACTATGTCCTATATATTTGAGAAGATAGAAGAAAGATCAAACATGTTAGGTAGGATTATGGAAGATAAAAATAAAAGGCCCAAACTGAACTTACAAAGATAAAATCTACATTGTTTCATATGAAAAATATACTGAATGGAATCACTGGCAGTTTAGACCCTACAGAAGAATGTGGTTAATGAATTTGAGATACAGCAATAACAATACAAAGATAAAGAACAAAAAAATAAAAATATAAACAAAATAATGAACGGAGGATCTCAGAATTATTGGATAACTTCAATCAACCTAATATTTGTGTAACTGGGGTCATCAACAAAAAGATGGAGACACAGAAATTTCTGAAGAAATAATATTAAAAAGTTACCAATATAACTAAAACTACAAACAAAAAGCTTAACAAACTACAGCCAAAAGAGATATTTATTTAGAAAACTACTCCGAGGCACACAATAGTCAAATTGCTCAAAATGAATGAGAGAAAATCCTAAAAGCAGGCAGAATTTAAACACACACACACACACACACACACACACAAAGTAAAAATAAAGATGACAGTAGACCTCTTAAAAACAATGCAAGACAGGAAGCCCAGCAACATCATTTAAGTGTTCAAAGATATACAATTATCAACTCAGAATTCTATAACCAGAAAAAAATACTTTTCAAAAATGAAAGGAAAATACATTGTAGGCATACAAAAGCTGAAAAAAATATCATTCCCTGTGCACTAGCACTATAACAATGTTAAAGGAAGTTCTTTCAGCAGAAGAAAAATGTCAAAGGGAAGTCTAGACATACACAAAAGATGCAACTAGATACATGTCTGAAAATGATAAACAAATGACCAAGAAGTGCACAGAAAGATGTTCATCATCTTTAGTCATTAGGAAAATGCAAATCAAAATCACAATGGACTACCACTTCATACCCACTAAGATGGCTACAATTAAAAAAAACAAAAAAAAACACACAAATGCTGATGAAAATGTGGAGAATTGGAAACTGTATACACTGTTGATAGAAAAGTAGCCACTATGGAAAACTGTTTGGCATTTTTCAAAACTTTACACATAATTACCACACAACTCAGTAATTCTAGCAATATTCCAAGAGAAATAAAAACATTTTCAAACACCAATGAGTTTATGAATGTTCATGGCAGGAGTATTCTGAATAGCTAAAAAGTAGAACAATGCACACATGCATTAGTTGCTGAATGGATAAACAAAATCTGCATTCAGCCATAAAAAGGAATTAAGTAATGATATATAATAAAACATAGATGAACCTTGATATCATAATCATACCTAAATCTTGTAGAGAACTAAATATTATCATTAATAAAAACTAGATCTTAGAAATGTCTTTTAAGAATATGAATTACGGATTGCGAAACTTTCTGCCAAGTATTTGATGGTAAATGTTTTTGGGTTGTTGGCATAGTCTCTGCAGCAACTCTGTCATTGTTAACACAAAAGTGACTATAAACAATACCTAAAAGAATGGGCATAACTGGGATTCAAACAAATTTTATTTAAAAAACAACCAACAGAAGGATTGACCCACAGGTAACAGACAGCAAATCCTGTGTTCAACTTCAGTTAAGGAGAGAAAATAAAAATTAAAATAAGTAGGTCAGAAGTCCTTTGGACAGAAGAAAAATATCAAATGGAAGTCTAGATATACACAAAAGATCCAACTAGCTACTTATCTGAAAAGTGATATACTAATGACCAAGAATACACTGATAGTATTATAAAGACAAGGGAGAAATCAATGACTGGGCTATAAAAAATAAGAATAAATTATTTGCCAAGTGAAGGTTATGATAATAAAACCAATACAGGCTAATTTTAATAAAATATTATTCTTATATAAAAGGGTGTAAGCATCAACAATTTCACAAGAGCGGAAATCATAAAGGACACTTAATTTTAAGAAAATTCTTGTTACTCTGATTTACTAATACCACACAGATCAGAATGTAAATCTTTCAAGACATATTAAGGTAATACATTTTCTTAAGGCTAGATATTTGGAGCTAAACCTTTGAGAAATCTAGACATTTTATTTTCATATTCAGTATTATCAAAGAAGTCTCTATTAAGGTAATATTTTCTTAAGGCGAGAGATATGGAGCTAAACCTTTGAGAAATCTAGACATTTTATTTTCATATTCAGTATTATCAAAGAAGTCTCTACCTTTTATGAATGCTTGTAGATCACCTAATGTTGTTTGGGCTTTTTCACGCTTACTGGTCAACACTAAAAAGGACTGACTAATAAAAAATAGTTTTAAAAATTACTGACCTGTTCATCTACTGAATCTCCTGCACCTTTTAAAGACTCCATAGAGATTGAAGCATCAGTCACTCTGGAAGTCTTAACTTTGACATCAGCTTTTGGACTTGGCAACTTGTGTCTTGATCTCATATTTCCTTCTGTAGAAATTCCTATGGGTTTTCATTAAACAAGATTTCGAAAAAATTGTATCTTCTTATTCTCTGAACCACCCCTGAATCCATCAACCTCTTGTTGGTACCCTCTACTTTATGGAATCTGATGAGAAAGATTTCCTTTATAAACTTCATTTTAAAGGTCTCTTAATATATAATGCATCATGAAAAGATTATGCTTCAAATAAATACTATAAAACTTCAATTGAAATATTTTAAAAGGTGCTATGAACATTTGTAAGTCACACTAAAACCAAATAATTACAACATGTCACAGATACCTTAACTTAGAGGGAATCAAAGATACCATCTAATTAGGGTGCTTTCAATGATTCCATTTTACTATTCATCTAATAACAACTACTCAATTTTGAAGAATTTCTTATATATACCTATATCAAGAAGTGTTCACACTTTCTTTTGAAATGTTAAATTTAGACTATTTTTCATATAAAACATTTTAAAAAGAATCTCTGTCCCTTAATATATGAAGTACCCCACAAGTTCATTAAAAGCTAACATAATCTAGCTAGTTCCTAAGAAGCCAGTATTTCCAACCTTGAGAATCTGGTCAAATATCTGAATTTTTTAATTTGTTTAGAAAAAATAATTTTAGATTTGACAGACTGCTATGTATCCAGTTACTCCTACAAAGGTGTCCTAATGTTTTGTTTTCTAACACTTAAGAAGTAAAGAAGCATCCCAAATTTTAACATAGAAAGTCATACCTGGAACATACACAACTGACTGTTCTTCATCAGAAACTTGGAAAGAGAACATGAAGGAAAATAGTATAAAAGATTACAACATTTTCCAAATGCTGCTCCTATTATACAGTTAGAGGTCTTCATCTTTTGACTTGGAAATTGATAACTATTAAAAACAAAAGTAGAAAGTCAGGTAACTGAATTAAATGTAGCAAAATCAATATTCTTTAAACAATTTATAAAAAATTTGAAAAGCCTTGTTCCACAAAAACTTTTATTCATTACCCAAACAGGATATCTTACTATATAAATTCTGTTGTCAAGTTCCTTTCCTTTTGTAAACGAGTAGCTAAGTTTTCCAGTTTGCCTATCATTAAGAAACGAGCTAGTTATTTTCTCCTAACAGTTCCACATACATCATTTCAAGATGAGCTTTGGCTGTGAAGATCAAGCACTGTTTGTGGACAATTCAATCATGCAAACACAAAGGCAGTATTTATTTCTCTACAATGCATTCATGAAATGTCCCAAAAGCCCTACTATCGAAAAAGTGGAAGAAATTAAGACAAAAATATTTTTTTAATTTCAAAAGGGGAAATTTAGAAAGGTGAAAATTATAATACTGCAAACCAAAATAATAAAAAGATCTCTTTCTGGAATCAAAATCATATTCAGAATTATGTCTATATCCAGATATGCCCAAATTTTGGTAAACATCTGTTATATTCCGGACAAGCAGTATCTAGACAATTTCCTTTCCAAATGATCTAGAAAATTTCCAGTGTTTTCTGTTTTTACAATATGTGTTCAAAGATTTCTATACAAAGCAATTATTAACAATGGCCTTCTGTAAAAGGCTAGAGTAGGTTTAATAGCATGTTCAACAAAATTAATGTACTTTAATGCAGTATTGACCCTAGTAATGGAGTCTTTCCAGGCAATACTGACTAAAAATGCCTAGAATGCTGTAAGTAAATTAGGAATATTCAGATTTTGCTTACTGTCTGAACTGCCAATTAGTTTTTCATGCATCTCTGCAGCACCTGCAGTGTTATAGCTTTAATATTTAAACTGATAATGGGTCTCTCTAAACTTTTAGTGCCCTCAGACTAGAGCTTAGAAAAGGAGACATATAAATCAAGTAAATAAAATTAGATCCACTATGCCAAAGAAACTGACAGCAACTAATATGGAGCAGAAAATATTTTAATTTACTGGACACAATTTTATTGGTTTTGTTTTTTTGTTTTTTTGAGACAGGGTGGTCTCACTATGTAGTTGAGACTGACCTGGAACTCACTATGTAGCCCAGGCTGGTCTCAAACTCGCAGTGATCCTCTTGCCTCAGCCTCCCAAGTGCTGGGATTACAGGCGTCACTGTACACAATTTTAAAATAGCCTTGTAAAATAAAATTATTCAGGCTCAGCAATAACAAAAACTGATTATTTTGCATCCCTCAGGATATGCACAGGACCTTATACATAGAATAGGCACTCAATATATGTCTATTTACTGTTTGAAACATACTTGGGAAAAACTCCCCAGGGAGAAAAATCCAAGACAACAGGGCAAGATATTTTCCATATGGTAGTGCTTTTAACTAGAAGATAGAGAAGAATTTTCAGACTATTCTCCAAAGATGACCTATGGAATGACTACATAACTTTGAGTCCTACAAAACAAACTGCACTTTCCTAAAGCCATTCACAAAGGAGCCTGCTCATAACTGGAATAAGCCACTGAGGACTCCATTCAGCTACACCCTGATCTGGAGGTACAGTCAACTATTTCCTACTTTCTTCTTTCTCCTCAAACCTCGTTCAAGTTCTCCAAGCTTACTCTCAGCTAGTCAACTGTTTCCTATATCTTTAAGAAAAACAAACCATAAAGACCTTCCCAAGACTTTTGCCAGCATACCTAACACTTTCATAGATTCTTTTACCACATATGAACTAACTCTTCAAGCATGAATCGAAAGCAAGTAAAACCCTCACATTAAAAATTACCTCTTTACCCAAAGATACTGTTCCTGATATTTTTCCCCTTTCTTCTGAACCAGTCATTCTTCCCTATATAACTTTATCCATCAGCATCCAAATATGTAATACCTCATTTTCCCAGAGGGAAAGATCCCTCTCCATCATAAATTGCCTCCAACTATGGTGCCACTTTTGTTCCTATTTACTGTGTCCCCCCAATCAATCTTGAATTTTCTACAATCAAGCTTTTGAGAGCAGTTTCATGGCACAGGCCTATAATCCCAGCACTTGGAAGACTGAGGAACGAGGATGGCTTCAAGTTTGAGGCCAGCCAGGGACACATAGTGAGTTCAAGGCCAGCCTGCATTACATAGCAAGACCTTGTCTCAAAAAACAAAACAAACCCTTTGGACTCTCTGTCAACCCAGGGTTATTTTTAACATATTTATAATATCCTGTACTGTTAAATCCATCAGTCCTTAAGGTTCTCAGTACTTGACCTATCAATAGCACTTGACATAGATGACCACTTACCCTAAAACATTTTTTGTCTACTTTCAATGACACCATATACTGTAATCAGAATTTTCCTCTTACTTTTCTAATAATTCCTGCTGTGTCTCCTAAGACTCTTCCTGTTGTATAAACCTTGGAGTGCCTCAGGGCTTAAATCTTAAGCAGTAATACTGCATCTACACATTCTCTTGATTATCTCCTTCAGTTGTCATGTCTTTAAATACCATTAGTAAGTTGACTTTTGCCAAATTAATCTTTAGAATGAGCCTATCCCCTAAACCTGACAGTGCCACTTAGATATATAAAATATCTCAACTTTGCCAGGTGTAGTAGAGTAGCAGCAAAATGCCAGTCAGAACATAGAGACAGGTAGTCCTGGAAAATGGAAGATGCACGTAGAAGTTTTGGAGGCAAACTGCACAGTTTTATTTTTAACACCAGCAGGTCAGTCTGGGATTTCTCCACAAAGAGACTGACCCCACTTTGGGGTTGAACAGGGCAGGTTATACTCTTGGGAGGAGGGCGGGCTTGTAGGAGTTAAGCACTTTACATTGGTTACATAGAGTACAAGTCATTTGGGTCCAGAAAAGTCATTGGTATCAGATGTTACAGACAGCAAGCTCAATGCACAGAGCCACATCTTATTTACATTTGGTGGGGAGATAGAAGTAATAAAACTGACAACAAAGAAAATTCCTGAGAGGCTTGAGAGTGAGTGTCAGGAAGCCCAGACATGTTGAGGGAATAGGGGAAAAGTTTTCCACCAGTAAGTTTGGCTTGAACAGCAGAGAAACATATTCCCTGTTCAGTAGTGCATACCTATAATCCCAGCATTCTGAGAAGCTAAGGCAAGAGGATCACAAACTCAAGTTTGGTCTGAGCAATTTATGGAGACCCTTTCTCAAAATGAAGCATTAAAAAAAAAGGCTGGGATGTAGCTCAATATAAAAGTCCACAGGTCCAGTCCCAAGTAACAGGAAAAAAAAAATAATAATAAAATTAAATTTAAAAAATCTCAAATTCAATATGTCCAAAACTGAAGTGTTAATCTTCATATCAAAAGCTGCTGCTCCTCCCATGGCCTTTCCCATCTTAGTAAATGGCAATTTTATCCTTCTAGTTGTCCAGGGCAAAATCATGGAGTTATTCATAACTTCTGGTTCTTTCATATTTTACATTCTCAAAATTCTGGGGGCAAGGCTTTCAAAATACATGTATATAAATACATTCACAGTCCAACCACTTCTCACCAACGTATCTCACCTTGATCCCAGTCACTTGCTTCTCTAGTCAAGATTCCTGTAAATTCCTGTAATTACCTTGTATCTGCTCTCTCATTTCTATGCATAACCCCTCAACAGCTCATTTTTCATACGTGGTTAGAATAAACATTTAAAAATTTATGTTAAACTTCATTCACATTAAAGTATTTACAAGGGCCCACAAGACTCATAATCTGATCTCTCCATCCTGTCACCTCACTGCTCTCATTTCTTATTATTCTTCCCTTCACTCATTCCTAGCTTCTTTATATTAGCAAATTATGGAAGTCCCTGCCGCAGAACTTTTGCATTTATTTCTTCTGTCCAGGTGGCTCTTCCCCAATACCTTCACAGCTCACTCTTTCATCACCTTTAGAACTTCAGTCATCTTCTGACTGAGACCTTCACTTCTTAACCACCTAAGTTCCTAAAAATCATAAAATTGTAAAACTGTCTTCCTGCAATTCATCTACTTCTGCCCTACCTTCTGCCCATTTCCTACTTAATTTTTCTCATATAGTTTTCACATATAGTTATACAATTTATTTTTATTTATTCTTGGTCTAACCTGAGATGTAAGTACCAAAAGGTGTTGATTTTCATCTTTGTTCATTTGTATCCCCAAATATAAAAGAGTGCTGGTTCAAAAGTAAGCCATCTATGAAAGAATTAAACTGATTCTCATTTAATTTATGAAGTATGGCCCAATAACTTTCAGTGTTCTTTCTCTTTTTAATCTCAATCAAAATATATAGGCAAACCTTATTATTTCTAGCAACAGACATGTCAAATTTTTTTTCAAGCAGAAAAAATTCTGAAGTGACTTCAACAAAAGTTTTTAAAAATAAGGATAAAAATATTTGCAATTAAGGGCCAGGGATTTAGCTCAATGGCACCATGCCTGCATCACAACAAGGTCCCTGTACTGAAAATAAATAAATAAATAATAAATAATAAATAAATAAATTTCACCATTGCTTCCATTCAATGTTTTCTTTCTAATAACATGTAATCAATCTTCATCTCTTTAAAAACCCAAACATTTACCTTTTTGTACAGGATTCCCCCAAAATGTACATTTTATGAAAAAGTCAAAGAAATATAATGTGCCAAATGTATGTTGGCTTTATTATTGTATTCCCTGTGGCACCTTATTTCTATTTTGATATCTTTAGACACACCTCAATAAGACAAGTACAGCAAGCTATGAAGTATCTTTAATGTTAGTACCAATCTGTCCAAAGTCCCAAAATTAAAGCAGTAATTAGAAACCAAGAGCAAAAATGGCAGAAAATACACATCTCTATTCTAGGTGTCCAGGACCTAAAGTAAATAAGTTTAGTCCTGCCCACTTTAACACCCATGTATATGTAACTATTATTGACCACAAAGACCTTTTGAGCTGGGATTCTTTTTACATCAATGTGAAGTCTTTGTCTATTTTTATTTGGAAAGAGATTATAGCAATTGCAATGTTTTCACTGAGTCCCCTGCAGTTCATATTTGTTAATATCAAGTTACTGTTAATGATAATCCACCCTAGTGAATTTAAGCAATCAAATTTACTACTTCTAATATTACTAGCAACTATAATGAAGCAGCAGAGCAATTTACAACTGAAGATGCATATTTTACTGGAAGGCTTAACCCATGAAATGACAATCTGCCATACCCATCCTTTATATGTTAGGAATATGACAGACCTATTCCAGAATAGCACTACTGAGTCTTAACGTGCTGAAGAAACCTAATAAACAAGAACAACAGTAAGAAAAAAAAAAAGGTGACAATCAGTCACAGACTATCTGTCCTCTCGTGATGGAAACTTTTATGATTCAGTAATCACTCAATCACATTTCTCTAACTGTTTAGATGAAGTACTTAAAATCTTTTATTCAATAGTGTAAAAAGAATACAAGTAATGGGAACACAGTATTTGACCTTTTCCTGTTGAAAATTCTACTCTTAGGACTGTAGGGGTGGTCTGGGAAAACATCAATATAACAGAAAAGAAAATGAGATTCAAAGCACAGAATTAAACCAAATGATTAAAAACTACCATTTATGCTTTTCAGCAAATATTCAGTGACAAATTTACATGTGACATTACTCTGATGCCTTGTGAATTTAAAATGAAAAAAACTGGGCCGGGGATTTAGCTCATTGGTTCCACTGCCTGTCTTGGGGTCACAAGGTCCTGAGTTCGATCCAGTAAAAAAAAATAAAATGAAATAAAATGAAAAAAATTGAAGGCTGGATAGTAATTGCTTATTACAAGGAATAGACTGGGGTAGCAGGTGGTAACAGTAACCTTGAATTCTTTTCCTACATCTGAGTATCTATAAAATGTAATCATCACCATATTTTCTAATACAATTTCAATTTATTACTACCAATAGGTAGATAAGTATTCGATATTACATTTTCAGAGTAAGAGAAAATCTAAGAGATAGTATATTTAACTTCTATATGAAGTACAATGATATGGCTATACAAATAAGCAGAGACAGTGCTGCTAAGACCAAGAGCACAGGTTTAGTCTACATGTTTATTAACTTATCTGGTCACACTGCAACAAACTGTCACATACCCCTCAAGCACGTATTCTGTATCCAAACAATATTACTAGTTGTTACAAGCTGACAACTTTTAAGAATCTCCTCCATATCAAAATCCTATGGATGCAGAGGCAGTATTTCATGAGGAAATCTAACATCTCGAGTTCCTGATTCCTAATTCCTAAGCCTAGCTGTCCCCAATGCACATATTCTTTTTTCACCCCTACTGATAAATAAAGGAAAACATATTTAATTTCCACAGTGCACTGGTTTGATTTTATCCAGTCTATATTCATTTCATTTGCTTCTCACCAACCTATCAGAGGCAAGTGGTAATTATATTTAGTAAGTGCATAATACTAAACATGTAGCAACACAGTTTGCAAAAAATATTCTCTACACAAGACACTCTAATCCTAGTTAATTCAATAAAAGGAACTTGTAATACAATTCCGTAAGTTTCACTGGAAGCTAAGTAGAATGTCCAAGGATTGATTCTGCCAAACATAATAGCAATGACATCACCAAGCCTAGCAGATAGCAAAAATATTAGCCTCTGAGGGCATCCAATAACACTCCCTCTTCCAAATGATGCCCTTGTAAAGAACAAGTAAATTACAAGGAAAGCTCAGACGTCAACAGCCTGCCGAATTCAGGAACAGAACAACTGTAAAACAAACATCTCACATCTCATTACAGATACTGTACTCAGATTACTACCACGGGGAAAGAGCTTCTCCATCCAAAAATGTCAGTCTCTGCAGGTGGTGATCCACAACCTATACTGCAAATCAACACAATTTCCAGGTACAAAGATTCAAACCCTTTTCCATTACCGGCACCACTAGGACACCCCAGTGAAAACAAACCTACATCTCTCCTAAAGCCCCAGTATGAAGGCTTCATCACTCATAGCCTTTGAAGTTCAACCAGGTCTTCACTTGATCTTAACACAGCCAACTATGGGCAATTCTAAATGAAGACCAAAAAAAAAAAGCTTCCTGTCTGTTCAACTAGCACACAGCCCTGTTCAGCTAACACCCAATCTGCCTCAACCACAAGCTTAGTCGCCCTCCCTCCACACACTTAGCCGCCCTGAGGACTGGGAGGGTCAGCAGGGGGACGCTACTTGCCCAGGCTTGGCCACAATTGCAGGCTATCTTTCCCAAGCTCACGGCCAAGAAGGCTGGGAAATATCAGCACAATGTTCCCACACCTGGAATCTCAGATTGAGACACTCAAAACCCAAGCAAGGGGACAGCCCAACCCTAGAGAGCAGGTCCCCGCCTGCGGGGTCAACACCGCGCTTCTCCTGTCCACCCGGAATCCT